TCTCTCTCTCTCTCTCTCTCTCTCTCTCTCTCTCTCTCTCTCTCTCTCTCTCTCTTCTGCTTCTCCTCATTTATCCCATTCCGGAGTCTCACCACACGACTAAATTAGAGCAAAGATGATAAGAGCACAAAGCATCATAATTCCGCCGGGCTCCTCCTCCTTCCAACCATGCGTCCTAATTAATGGGACACCCCCCCAGTCGCAAAAAAAGCCCAGCTCTGGACTGCAACATAGTCAAAGAGTGAAAGGGAAGAGGGCGAAAGTGCCACTGGAGATAATTGATTAGCTACCAATCAATGATAACTTGTTAGTAATCGTCAACTGTTTGGAGCTCGCCATTTTCAGGGAGGCTTCTCACTCCTGCGGACCCGCTGCTCACTTGGAGCGCACCCCCACCCGGAATAAGATCTGTTTCTCCCCTCGTTGCCTTGATTTTTTTCCCAAACTGTTATGACTTTCTCCCCACCACCACCACCTTCCTCATAGCCTCGTTCGTTTCCACCCGGGTTGTATTTTCACCCCCCCTCCACAAAACCAAGTCAGACGCAAAACTCTTCCTCCGCGCGGAGACATGACATCCAAAGAAGTGGCCAAATGTGACGCAGCGGAGAGCAGGAGGCGAAGCCCGCTGGACCACTTGCCGCCTCCCGCCAACTCCAACAAGCCGCTGACGCCCTTCAGCATCGATGACATCCTCAACAAGCCGTCCGTGAAGCGCAGCTACACGATCTGCGGCACGGCGCACATCATCTCCTCCTCTGAGAAGCACCGGCCGTCCAGCCTGCCCCTGTCCAGCCGCGCGCTGCTCACCCAAACCTCGCCTCTGTGCGCGCTGGAGGAGCTGGCCAGCAAGACCTTCAAAGGGCTGGAAGTCAGCGTCCTGCAAGCAGCTGAAGGTGAGGTTCTGGGTCCACATGACGTCTTGTGTTTTTAGAGTTTGATTTGAAGGCTTTTGTTCGTTTAGGACGGTTTTTGTTTTCACTCTGCTGCTTTAAACAAATTAGAAATAACTGTCGGGATTTACTGTGGGGATGAGGAATGCATTTTCYTCAATAAAAATAACATAAATGTTCCTTTTTTGTTGTTGTTTATGCTTATTAACTAATATAATTTTTAATCATTGTAGAAGATTAGTTTCAAAGATAAAAAAAATCTGTAAATTATTCTGCGTTTTGGACACTTTTTACGCGCAAATTTGTGCCAAATTAAAGAACGAATTTTCCACTCAGCCTCTCTCCTCTTCCTCACAGGCCGAGATGGGATGACTCTGTTCGGCCAAAGAACCACCCCAAAGAAGCGCCGGAAGTCCCGGACGGCCTTCACCAACCACCAGATCTACGAGCTGGAGAAGCGCTTCTTGTACCAGAAGTACCTGTCCCCCGCCGACCGAGACCAGATCGCGCAGCAGCTGGGCCTGACGAACGCGCAGGTCATCACGTGGTTCCAGAACCGCCGGGCCAAGCTAAAACGGGACCTGGAGGAGATGAAGGCCGACGTGGAGTCGGCCAAGGCCATCGGCCAGGTCCCGCTGGACAAGCTCGCCAAGCTGGCGGACCTGGAGAAATGCGCCAACGGCACGCTGGGCCACCCGCGAGCCGAGTCCCCCGCGCTGGGTGGAGGCCCACAGGAGCACGAGCTCGCGCAGAAACTGCGGACGTCGCCGCTGTCCCCCTTCTCAGACCACACAACAAGTAAAGAGTGCTCGGAGGATGAGGACGTTGAGATTGATGTGGACGACTGATGGCGCGCGCGCGCGCGGAGAGACGATCCGACTCCAACAGAGGACTTGTATAAACTTACTGCTTATATTGTAAACCACATCTCAGAACGTGTACCAAAATTAAAAAGACTTTTCTATCGGCACAGATCGGCCTGTTCATAGTGAAGCATGAACGCAGAACAAGAGATATGCAGAGATATTTTACAAAAAAAAAAATGTATCCACGAGCGAAATGTTTCTCCTTCCGATCAAAGCAATATGAGCTGATGGTATTATTTTTTTACAGGACAAACACGACATAGAGAGGCTCTTAGACGTGCACGCGCACACACCCGCTCTGTTTCCTGTAAGGCCTGTCTGCGCGCGCACATACACCGCTCCGGTTTCTCTATTTGTTTGCATGGAAATGCATGATTTGATTTGTGATCATTATATTTATTTTTACCCTTTTTATATTTAACTTAATTGCTTTATTTTTTGTTTATTTCTCTGAGCCAAATCTTTGTCACTGCCGGCTCTTCCTCCTCCTCCTCCTCCCGGTCACGGTGCGTCATGGCTCGGATCGGAGAGGCCAAACTCGGACACTCAGTTATGCGTTGGAATGCTCCATGCCGAGAAGAGAAAAAGAAAGAAAGAGAGAAAAAAAAGATCAAACAGCGGTGATTTTGACAAGCTACTTTTTAGATTCTCTGTTTGGATACGATAGATTTACAGTTCCTATAAATTTGTTATGTTTTGTACACCTGGAAGTGCCTTTCTAAAATCAGGACATGATCTGAAAACCAATGCACAGACTGTATTGTATATAGGCTACTATGGGAATAAAAACTGCTTTTCTGAATTTTTCTTTAATGTTGTAATTCTTGAATTTATTTTGAGGGATGACTAAAAAAATCCAGATCGGTGCGTCAGAAGCGGCTTGTTTGGAGTTTTTCTGCTCAACTATTTTTGTTCCTTTGTGTTTTTTTTTTATTTATAAAGATGCTCCAAACATTTCGTCCCCTACTTTTCACGTCCTGAAATGCGTGTCGTGACTTCTTGACCTTCAGACGTGTTTCCCCATTCGTGCTAAAAATTTATGTGAGAAACACAAATCTGGAGCTGGGGAGGCAGAGAAAAAAAAAGGAGAAAAACAAAAAACCCACAAAGTTTTGGGCCAGTTTCCCCGGGCCCTTAAAGAGCTTTCATTCTTTTTTTTTTTTCTTTTTTTTTTTTTTTTTTTTGTTCTGCGGGACTGGGGCCGTAATTTTGAGCGTAAAGCATGAAAAGTGGGGACAAATGAGCAGCGTCCCCCTGTTGGGACGCGCCACAAAGGCACAGGGCCGCCCCCTCCCGCAGGCAGCAATACTGAGACAAGTGTGTCCCACTGCACAAAAAGGACGCAAACGTTTGGAAGCCATATGGTTTTTGAAACCTCCTCACAATTTCAGACAATTTGATGGATTGAGTTAACCCTCCTTTTTAAACAGTTTAACTGGGTGCGAACAAAGGCCATAATGCCGACATAGACCCCCCTCTCCCCCCTTCATGAGGGGCATCTGCGGCCATTAATGTCTCCCCTTTTCTCTGCCTGGCGTTTTGAACAAGTCAATGAATTACAATGAAACTGACCCCCCTTCTTTTTTTGGTGTCTTTATCCGCTTTTTAGCTCTGGAATAATATGTTTGACTTCTGTCCAAGAAGGTTTTTCTAAACAAGAAATGGATTTTGTTGGAAGGGTTTTTAATGTTAAGCAGGGAGGCCCCATAAAGAGCTGGGACTGTGACACTTCTGCCAAAGTCTGGTTAGGGGAGCCCTTTTGTTTGTTTTCTTCTCTTCTTCTTTCACCTCTTTATTTCTTTTGTCTTTAAGGAGTTTAATGAAGCTGAAAACATGGAGATGTGAGGAAAAAGAGAGAGACTGCGGCTCAAAAGCCGACCTCCAGTTTAACCCTCTTTGTTAGAAGGAGGGATAAGTTGAGCTGTCTTCTTCTGCTCAGCTTATAGTGTTTGACTTGTTTTTTTTTTTTTACTTTCTGTTCAAACAGGAGCAGCTAAATAAGTTTATAGATTGAGAACACTCATGGGTGACATTCTGTGTGGGCAAATTAGAATAAAAATAGATTTTATGCCTGATCCATAACGTTTAAATAATAAATACACCCATGCAGGACAATGTGAAGCCATTTTTCTAAACAAAATTATTTTTGCAGCATTCAACTCATTTATCTTGCATTCATTACCACAAACTGCAAATATATTTGTTATGAAATACTGATCAATATCAACAGTTTTACCTTTTCCTGCCATAAATAACCTTATGTTTGCATATAAGTGAGAACTGTTAGTAAAATATCTATACAAAATGTCATCCTATAATATTGGATATGTGCTCCTTGTTAGCTAAATGAGTTGGGGTGCAATTATAATTTTTAAGCTCCCTGCAAAAAGACAAAAAACTGACCTGCATGAACTTGTCGGTTCCTGTGTGTGTGTTTGTGTATATTTGTGTGTGTGAGTATGTGTGTGCGTGGCCTGTTCTGAATCAAGCATATTTATGAAGGGAGAGTGTTAAGGCAGGCCAAGTTTATGGATTTCACTTGCTTATTTTATGAGTGCTTGTCAGGCGGGCCGGTGATAAGTAATACTACCATCTGAGGGACCACTTCGTGGTAATTAATCTGGAGGTCTTAAGTGTATTTCAGTATTTCACTTCAAGATAGGGGGAAAAAAATCACTACTTCAATCGTCCGGAAAATTGAAGTTTGATGCATGAGTCCCTACTGAAACAATGGAACAGGCCTCTGCCCTCCCTCCTCTTCTTCACTCCCCCCTCTGTCTCTCTTTTACTATTTACACTTTGTGGAAAAACACATCAGGTGTGAAGAACAATTTGATCAATTAGTTCAATGTTTTTCACCTTGTCTGCTCAAAAAAATGACAGTAAATTCTAAATATTTACATATTTAATGAAACCAAACACAGAATAATGATAACATCCCCTAATATTTCAAATTGTATAGTTTTTGTCATATACTGTTAGAATTCTCAAACATGCACCAAGAAATATGTCTTTAGCTTGAGTTGAAACTACTCTATATTTCTAAATGGAGCCAAAATGTAGAGTTTTAATCATAGCCTTCCTGTGGAGCCAGTTAATACTTCAAACTTCAATTTTACGGGCGATTGAACTAAGCATGTTCCTGACAGAATTGATRTATGTATTAATTTCCTTTAACTGTTGATTAATTAGGCTGCGCTGAGGGCTCAAATGGAACGAGGGCTTCTTTTCCTCTCTCTCTCAAAATTTGCATATTAATCAAATTCTAGTTGATCATTCAAATAATCTGCGTGATTTCTGGGACAGAAGCTAGAAAATTATAAATAAAATTGGCAATATATCTTCTCAGACTCCAGAGCTCCAACTGCTGCGTTGTGCTCAAATTAAACCAGCAGAGGAGSAAGATTTGAAGTAAAAACTCATCCAGTTTTAGTGGAAATAAATGTTAAATATCTCAAAGGCATTTTTGTCTGTAAGCTTCAAAACAGGGAGTTGGGTGAGTAAGTGAACAGTAAATTAAAAAAGGAATAATATTTTTTAATATTTATCTTTTTATTTAAATAAAACAAGAAAT